AACAGCGTGCACAGTCATTGTGCCATTCCTAGTAGGGGGTTGTTGAACTTCGAATTTCAAACTAGAGTTTCATCTTTTCCGATCGTTGATCTCTCCCGACACCCTAGTATAGTTGGCGAGCGCGGCAAGGCAGCGCTGTTCGGCTTGGGAGGGGCAACTAGCACTTTCGCTAACTCTTTTTACAATCTCATATCAACAGTTCTCACTTTGTCTAAATCCGTGAACTCTTATAAGCTTGCAAAATGGTACAAGTGAGCTGCTTTAGCATCAGTCGTTTACAAAGCTTCACAGGATGCTCTTTACGCCCGGTGAGTACCATCTGATGCCCCCTAAACCACCCAGCAAAACTAATATATACGATAGCTGGTCGAGGGTGCCTACTGCCACCCCCATCCATTCCACGGCAAAATTTGAAGAAGACCTTCCAAAATGGTCGGTAAGTTGTGAAATAGGTTAGTAATCGGGACCCTTTTTTGCGGCGTCGGGTTTCACCGCCATTTCATCTATCCTACTGACAGTACTGTAGTCTCCCTATGAAAGGCGTGTCCACGATCACAGTTGCGAGCGCGCCCGCGGCGGTGGAAAGTCGGGGCGTGTCAGCCCGATGCAGGTCTTACGCGGCCCGACCCCTTGTCCTATTAATCGTTGCTCTTTCAAGCGTTCAGTGAGCGGCGGGCAAAGCGCTAGCGCCAGCCGCTCTACCACGCCCCGACTGACTTCAGTGATAACGACTTTATATGGGAAATAATGTTACACAGGGCAATTGTCCCCTTCCAAGCCGAGTGTTTCGAGGTATTCTTGTGCAGTCTGTACCCTCTAATACTCTGCCCTGAACGGACAACATTTCAGTTACACGGTGCCGCTGCGCGCTTACAACTTTGTAAACGCCCTCACTCCAAGCGCATGCTAAGGCTAATATTCTGTCACCCCAAAAACTTTATTCAAAGGCCGGATGAGGGCCCGAATTATTTCTTTTATTCATCGGAGATTTTCAGCTTACTTTCCGAAACAGTGAAAATGAACATCTTCAATACCATAGCGGTTGGCATAGTTGGTGTGTTATTCTGCGTAGTTGGGTAAGTTTTGTGTGACTGCCAGTACTCTTACAGTTGTTCAAACATTCGTTTGAAGCTTCATCCCACTGGAACTTAAATGGATTGCTGTGATCATATTTTCGCTACTTCATGCACTCAGCAGTTGCAATTGTGGCGGATTCTATAAGTGTGGAACGTTACATGCAAGGTACTCCTTTGCAATTATCCTTAGGGCTGTAAATGGGCGTGCGTTGGTGCATTCCGGCCTGTGAACTGTGATTTCCGTTGAACCTCAAAGGGGAGGGGGAGATTGCCACAGACACAGGCTTGCTCAGCTCCCTGTACTAGCTTGTCTTCGAGAGCATATCCTCGTCATCCGGGCAGTTGATTAGGGCGGTCGTCAACGGGCCGCAGCGCGTGCCAGGAACTATTTGCTTTTTCCAGGCTAATTTAGTCATTTTTTCCAACTTTTCACTGTTTTGGCTACTTTTTCCCAGATTAGCAGCTCCTTATCTTCACAAGGTGGAAAAAATGACTAAATTAGCCTGGAAAAAGCAAATAGTTCCTGGCACGCGCTGCGGCCCGTTGACGACCGCCCTAATCAACTGCCGGATGACGAAGGTATGGTGAAATAATTCAACAATGCTCGAAGTGAACAATACTTTCAAGGGTAGGCAATGGACTACTTTGCGGCTATCAAAGCCAGGAATCAGGGAAAGAGAAGTAAAAAGAGTTCAAATATATTCTGGACTCCCTATTACCGTACTTATTATTCCATTGCCTACTTTATTATTTAGATATGAGGAGGGATGAATAACTTTTTTTCTTGGCTGTTTTGCGTGGCGCCATCGTCGTCTTGTCTCTTTCCAAGTCTCTCTCAATGTTTCTTTGGGCCGAGATGCTCGCACTCAGTGGACCTGTGAACGGGCAGAATCTGTTGTTTGTTAAATTTGTTGAGAGAATCCCCATGGAGGGGGCGGCGGGGGGGTAGATGGAGTCAATAACTACGCTCAAGCGTGACAAAGATTTCGGTCATTGACGCTTCTCGGTTTCAAGTGTGGCATACACCTCCTCTCCAGCAACTTGCCCCTCTTATTCACGCTAAACGAAAAGAGTGCGCCTTATGGGGACGAAACTCCTTCTGAGATAAACTGGTAGAAGACTGGGTAAACTTGAGAAAGGTTTGGCGATAGTTTAACGTGATGTCGTCGAGATGAAGATCACAATTTGGAGAGGGGACGGCATTTTGTAAAATTTCGTCCCCGAAAGGCGTGGCAACTGGATAACTATCCCCATCCTCAATCAAATAAGTGGGAGGGATGCTCAGTAAATAGTTAGGTATTTGATAGTAAAATTGATCATTAGCCTTGATCTTACTCACAACTGAGTGTTCTTGATAGAGCAGTCAGCAGACTCAATTCTTATGAACCACGCTTCTATACCACGCTCTCTCAGCCACGAGGTTGAGGACGTAGCCGGATAAGCTTGTTTAAATCTCCTTAGCCCATTCTGATCTCAATGATGGAATTTTTGCAGGCAACACGCTCATGTCGTCATTGCAACTATTCAATTCATGAAATGCATAGCACTCTTCACTGGGCCGGCTCTTGTGAGCGGCATCGTCCATGATGAAACCAATAAAATGCAATGGGCTGTGGTGTTCGTCATCTCGGGGGCTGTCATGATTGTGGTTAGTTTGTAATTGTGGTTACTTTTCATTTTTGCGTGTTTTCAGTGAAGCCGTGTTTGCCCGTTTTTTTTTGTTAGCTAAATAGAATGGCACAAACCTTCGTTCTCCTTTTATGGGATGATGCTAGGTTATTTCAGCTGAACTGAGCGGGACATAAGTTACATAAGTAGGATTAGTGAGGAGCTTCACAGGAAAAGCGGAGCACATACAGTCCATATCTGGGGGTCCAAGAGGCGTGGCTGCCAGCGCAGCGAGTGTGCAGTTGAAAAAGAGACGTGGACGTATACTCGTTATTCCCTAGACGGAGCAAGCATGGCATACTCTTCTCTGTTGGACAAACCCATGACCACATTTGATTGAATGAAAATGAAAAGAAGGATTGAGATGCTGGAGACACGCAGGAACGGTGGAGTCGCTCGTAGCCTGATATCCTTGAACTACCTTTCTTCAAGTAATCTTAACTATTGAAGTTATCAACGTTCAGGCTAACCTGCTCTCCTTTGCCATATTCACGGACAAGCCCGCCCCATGGACAACGTCCGTCCCAACGACGATCGAAGAGGAGAAAATTGAAATTCAACAGATGCAACTGTGTTTATAGATGTACATAATTGTTCATATTATTGGTAGGAATTGATAGAGATCAGGAAATGTTGCAAGTTGTTCAGTAGAGCTTCATGTTCACAGTAATGTGCAGAAATAAATGTAATAATGTAAAAGAAGCAAAAAATAAAATACTTCACCCAAACGAGTAGGTATCTCGCAGTTCGGCTTGGTGGGGGCATTTTGTTGGTTCCTAGAGACCACTGCCGATGCCTCCTGTTGAAACCTGTTCACTTCTGCAGGCCATGCAGTAGTGCGCACTAGACAAGAGTCTACAAGTCTTGCCAAGGTTACTCGTGTAATACAACACGATCTTGCAAAAGAAACTGGGAATGTGCAAAATGCCTCTTCCCTCCCGCTGAGTGGAACAGGGTACTAATATCCTCCAGTAGACTGCTCATATCCTAAAGGAATCCTTGAGCAGCGAATAACACAGTGAAATATGCGCTGATAATTTTATGATTCAAGACTATTTTCCCTCCCTCATTGTCTTAGGTTTGAGACAAACGGCGCACTAGCTGGAGGGGGAGGAGAGAGGGGGGGGGCATTTTGTACATTCGCTACCTCGTATCGTTGGAGTCATCGTTTTGCAATAGGTGACAAATATTTGCCAACTGGCCTCTACAAACTTTAGCTGGTACCACACTTCCTGCCTTCACAGACTTTCACAGATCTTCACTTGATGGCTCGACAGGACCATGAGAAATAGCGAAGGTGCAGAATGCCCCCCGCCCCCCTCAAGCTGAGCTTCTCCCGAAAACAACATTGATTTGAAAGCAGGCACTATGACTTTTTTCCGCGCTAGTACCCCTTGGTCAAAAGAGTTTCGGCTAAATAATATACGCATCAAGTAACTTCGACAAATAGCCTTCCATTTAAGCTCTTCTATTCATGCCTTAAATTGCTCAAAGGTGTTTATTTAGGTCTCCAACTTGTTACAATACTTTACTGGTACTGGATTAGGAATTGCATAACTACAGGCTATCCTTTGAGCGGATTGCTGAATAGCCCGTAGTACCTGGTGAAACATAGGTCCCGGTGAGACCGGCTTGAGAACTGCTGCCCACTGCGAAAAATTCACGAGCATGAGCGCGCTATGAGCAGGAGCTAAGCGTTGACAGGTGGTCCGTCCATATAGCCGCGCATAGCCACTCACGAAGGTCAAACATTTCGAGCGTTTTCGCTGGCGATGTTCATGCTTGCCAGCTTATTACTCATTGACACCTCTTTATATGTGGATGCTTTTGTAATACAACCACGAATCATCGATTTTTCTGTTGACGATCACAGGCGCAATGAACATGGTCTACAAGGTTGGTTTTTTCTGAATGATGAGATTCGGCCAGGGGAGGAGCATTTTGCACATTCGCTGCCTCCCCACTGTCGTATCGAGCCATCAAGTGGAGATTTGTAGAATCTTATGAAGTCATGAAGTCATCCCCCCTCAAAGTTTGTAGGAACTATTTGCTAACTCACGTAAAGAATGTCTTTCAACATTTGTGAAGCAATGAACCCGACAACGTGTAGCAGCGAAAGTACCAAAAGCCCCACTCCCTCCCTAGCCGAATCGCGAATTATCTTTT